TCAGACACATGTCGTCAATCCCACCTGTCGTCAGGACAACATTCGCCCCTGAAGCCAAGATCTTCTGGATGCGCTCCTTAGTGATGTCCGACTCCCTGAGACACAAAATTCAACACCAGGATGAACAAACCGAATAAACGAATGAATAAACAGCACCGAATCGTCTAGAACAGGGCTTCCCTTAAGGTATCTGTGGCTCACACAACCATCATGAAACAATCATGAAGCTTTCACGGCCCACAAGAAAGTTTACCTGCCGCATAGTTTCAAACGCAAATATCACAATTTTCTGTTTGCAGCCTTTTGTCTATGATTGATAAACTCTATATGATCAAAAAGAGACCTGCACTGAAAATATGACCATATCTAGTTAGCTATGACAATTACATCAAACATCCATTTTGCCAGACCATCACTGAGCTCAACCTACACAGTCAGGTATTTTTGATCTTTATTTTGGCAAAAATTAAACCTGTTAAAAGCTGCTGGCTCTTTATATTGCAGTGACATTACACCAGTAAACGAATAAATAAATGAATGAATGAATGAATGAGTGTCAACACTCTCCAAGCAGCGCCACCACACCCCACTGGCTGAAAAGCACAGCTCTACAGAGTTAATATTAGTGCGGGTCACTGGAAACAGACTATGTGCCAAGATGGCAAACAGCATGAATGTATTTTGCAGAATTTTGGCTAAAAATTTGTGCTGCACTTGTTCAGTATAAAAGGCCACAGTGACGATGACAAGAGGTGCGTCCACCCATTTCTACCGTAGTGTAAATAACAGGGATATTTAAAACGTTTAAGAGAAACATTGACTTACAGGTACCAAGGCTTAATACAGCACATTTAATAATTTGTTTTATTGTATTTCTAATATATTAAAACAGAAAAATAAAAAAATTGAAAAATGTGTAGTAAACTGTGATATTTAAGTGTCCTCTCTGTAGAAAATGTGTGTTATTTTCACTTCAACATCCAGAAAACATGTTATGTGACCAGAGCTGCTCAAAAACATTTGCAACTGTAAATACGCTGCTTTTTTAAGTCAGTTCAAGGTGTGATCTTTAACATGGCAGTATTAGCAAAGCAAGCTTTGGTGAATTTTGCTGTAGCGCCATCAGAGATGATACCGTATGACAGCATGACATTGAGAAACAGTGTACGACCCAAAGACACATCAGAAACACCAGAGCGTGTGTATCTGAGTAAAAGGCTTTGGGTTCACCTTCATTTATCCCACGCGTATAACTACACACACTACAGTCAGTGTGGCAGCAATAGAAATGGGATCACAGGCAGTTCTGCGTGACGGGCTGTACTGAGTGGGGAACTCCAGCCCAGAGGGGCCGAATTCCTGCAGTTTGGTGATTTTCCTGCTCAAACTCACCTGATTCATCAGTTAATTACCAGGTTTACTTTGTGTGTTTGAGCAGAAAATCACCAAACCGTGCTGAACTCCAACTCTCGGCTCCCTCCACTGACCCACACACACTACAGTCAGTATGGCAGCAACAGAAATGGGACCATGGACAGTCCTGTCTGTGTGAGAAAGATCAGCGGTCAAACCTCTGTCTGATCTGGTCCAGCTTCTCTGGGTCACTGATGACGACCTGCACTCCCAGCTTCATCTTGGTCTTCTGAAGGCTGAAGTCCAGACAGGCGATCTTGGCGTTCTGAACACGTTTCGTCATTCCTGACAAAGAACAGACAAAACTCAGCTTCAGAAAGGCAGCTGCTGCTTTTAGCCACGTGACCTGCCTCTGTCCATGTTTATGGGAAACTGTGTGTCAATCAGAAACTACATAATCAAGTCTATTAGAGATGACTTTGGTCAGGCCGCCACCCACACAACTCCCCAGACCTCAACACATACACACACAGAAAGACACACAATATCTCAACCGTACACGGAAGATTCAGCTTCAGAAACTGTGTGAATCATCGGTGGGTGGGATTCTTTTATGGTAAGGCTGATTATTCAGTAACTACTCCATAATTAGTCAACAACTACAGTGGCTGTGTTTACATGCAAAGACTGTAAATTAAGACTGAGGTGTTTATTCTCAATCTACTCAACAATCTGATGAAAATCTCCGTTTACATGCTCACTACAAGTAATCAGATCCAAAATGACGCGCATGCGTAGAGAACCGCTTAGTGTAGATGTTACCATGACAGCGAACATCACGTGAGTCCAGTCAGAGTGAGATGAGCAGCAGTGAGCAGTGCTTGTGTTTATAAATGCTTTAAAATGATGTCAGACTCAGGAAAACGTCCTTCACATGTCCTTATTAAAGAAGGCCGAGAGGAAGACGTCACGTTCTGATACACATAAGCTGGACGTAACAGATTATTAGGCTGCATGTAAACGTGGCTACTGATTTATCCGCAAACCACTATGAATTTTTCGGTAAGTACTATGAACTACTCAAATAACCACTATATAATATTTGGGAACCATTATGAAATATTCACTAACCACAATAAATTATTCAGTTGCTGCTATGTAGCTAATGTGCTGCGGTTAGAACAGTGGGGACTTAAAGCGTTGGCGCAAACTAGGGCTGAACGGTTAATCATATTTTTTTTATTTATTTATACTGAAACCACCCTTTGAAAGTGTTTTTCCCCCCTAATGGCAAAATCTGCACATTTAAGTATGTTTTACTTTACTCACAGTTGGCTCAACATGTTATAAGAAGACCCTGAACTCATGAACTGACTGTCTGGAATAGATTCAGCATTTGAGGCTCAAGCCCAAAAGATGCGCTGGAGTTCAAGGACAAAGAGGCAAAGAGAAAAGCCTGGGGCTAAATTTATAGAAAATAATTGCATTTTAACTTCATTTTTACTGCAATTACAACATTTGGCAAAAAAAATCGCTATTAAATATTGTCCATAAGTTGTTCAGCCCTAGTAAAAACCCTCAGGAGCTGAACTCCTTTGTGTATCCACACCATCATTCAGGTACTACAGAGGAAACAATGAAGAATGAGCACATGAAACATCTCCTTCCTCTCTGAACACACCTTGTGAGCCGACGGTGCAGTTGAGCGCGTAGCCGTTGACGAGAATGCTCTCCTTCTGGCTGCGTCCGTGAGCCTTCAGCACGTTTACGGAGTTGATGGGGTAGCGAGCCACTCCTTTACCGTCCACAAACTTCACCGCCAGGGCAGCGTCCACCACCATGTTAGCGAAGAAGTCGGCGTCACTGAGGGGCGAGAAGTCAAGGCCCAACAGCGGACAGGCACCAGAACAGGCACCAGAACAGGCACCAGAACAGGTGCAGCTCTAAAGCCAGATTTTACACAATTTTACACACACACACACCCCACACGCCTTTGCAAACATACTCCATATATGAATATATATATATATTAAAATGAAATATATATTAAAAATGAAGAAATTAAGGATACACTCCGATGATTTTGGAGGACATGGAGGTTTTAGCAGCGTTCACCAAGCACTCTCTGCCCAGATCATCTGTGCCGATGGTCAGATTCTCATTGATGTAGCGCACTGCTTCCCTGAAAATGGGGAAAAAATGAGAAAAGAAAGAAAGAGGTAAACAAACAGGACAAACTGAAAGCCCCCTCATCAAATTCACATGGTTTTATGTACTAAAAACAGTCGATTAACACTCTCCAAATGCTCTTTACCCACTAGAATCAAACAGCCTGTGTTTGATACGGTGCCTTTAAGAACAATGTATGTAAATGAGCTCTGTTCTGATTGGCTGCTATGTGTTGTGCCTCATTTAAAAAGGAGTTAGAGCTGAAACACTCCTTATAACTTCATGAATAAGTGAATATACAGTAGTACAACAGTTACACAACTGAGAAAATCAGAAATCAGAATTAAATCAGAAGCCGTTTATCTGGGGAGTCGGTGTTTCTTTATTTGGATGGTCCCCTTTAGATGCTCTACAGATACTTAAATCATTATCACACCTTCTGGGGATGTTCAGTTGATGATCAACATTATGGTTAGGATTCGTAGATCTATGTTTTGCTTTGAGATTAAGGTTCGGGATAGATTTCATAAACTCTTTCACACTGAACATTTAGACTGTTACTTACAGACAGACAGAGCATTTACAAAGCATCTACAGTGAACCATCCAAATGAAGTGTTACCGTTTCTTTGCTCAGAAAACACCAACATTGAAATACATACAAACAATGATAGAACAGGTTGTGATTTTACTGATGTTACTGTGTTTATTTAACCATTTGCAAACCTCTCTTCAAAAAAGGCCAATATTATTTATAGTTATCTTTCAAAACTTCGTTTGATTAATTAATCCTTCATTATGTTGAATCAGGTGATGGACTTTCAAAAATCCATGCACCTCAGAGAGAAATCTGGAGCCAAACTGTTCTGAAAACCTCAGGACTACTTTTATCCAAATAAGAAATTCTTACTTTTTACTACAGTTTCTTTTCACTGTATTTATAAGTATTTGTATTTCTTGCAATGACAAATTTTTACCAGCAAAAACACTTTTTACCAAGATAAATGGCTTTAATTGATGTGCTCTGGTGCTTTTATACAGTACTGTATGTTAATGTGCTGCTTTTTGTGACTAAAACAATGACCTTACACTGTTTACATATTATCTCAGATTCTTATTTCAAAACATCGGGAAACGCTGTTCACAATATCCACCCTATGTAGCACCGTTTTCCAAAACAACTCTACCTCATTCCTCACTCAACACATGCTTATAATAATAAAGAAAGACAGAGTCTGACTTGAGAAAGAAAGAATGCATCTCTGTTCTTAATAAAGCTCCAAACGTGCTGACGGCGGGCGTCTCTTACTTGCAGGCGAGCCTGTATCCGCTGATGATGGAGGTGGGGTGGATCTTCTGCTTCACCAGCTCGTCTGCACTCTTCAGCAGCTCCGCGGCGATGATCACCTGAACGAAACAGGAAATACAGGATTAAAACGAAGGCTGAGGACATTCGAGAGCAAACTGACCAGCGCTGTGTTCGTACTGTACTATCAGTTCATATAGAGGCTGCAGGAGAGACTGCAGACCCTTCAGACTCTGACAGAGTTGCTCTATCCTGTTAGCATAGCCACACACCCTGATCAGGAGCAGGAGGGTGGTACTAAAACAGGACACACTCAGGCCCAGTCCCATCTCTCTTACCCCACCCCTTGTTTGAGTGTTGCCCCTTGGAACTGAGTTACTGAGGTTGTGGTTGAAATCCTCTACGAAATGAGACCCTCAAATAAAAAGAGCATCACTTCATTAACAGCTACCAGCGCTGCTCTGTAGGCGACCCTGCCAGTCTGCAGTGACAGCAGAGGAGGGTAAAGTTCAGCTCCTCACTGCTGGGCTTTAGTTACATTTAGGGCATCATATGACTTCAAAGAGGGGGCAATTATTTATCATCACCCACCCCTAAGGACCAATCCTATTTCACTCCTCACCCCTACCTCTTACTCCTCTGTTTTGGGCATTCGCGTCTAGGGGTAGGGTGTCCTGATTCATGTTGAGATGGAGGGGGAGGGTGAAGTGATGGGGCTACATGACCCTCCAAACAGAGGTTTTTCAGAGACTCCAAACAGAGAGATATGAAAAAAAAGAAAAACTTCCAAGACGGCTGAACAAGAGACCAAAGAAACACACAAATGTGAGAATTTTCTTTGTTAAAAATCACGATAACCACTGTATTTTCTTAGTTTAATGTCGTTTCAGTGTCTATGTTCCTTTTTCTTATAAGCATAAAAATAATAGTAGTGCTAATGTCTCGGTAGCTGGCTAACTTTCCTGTTCCACCTTAAATAGTCCAGCAGTTCTGACGCCTGAAGTGCCAGAATGTGACTGCTGCTCCATTAGCTGGTGAATATCTGACTTCAGCATCACATCACTGAAGAATTAGGGGTGGGTGATAATAAATAATTGCCCCTTTGAAGGCGTATGATGCCCTAAATGTAACTAAAGCCCAGCAGTGAGGAGCTGAACTTTACCCTCCTCTGCTGTCACTGCAGACTGGCAGGGTCGCCTACAGAGCAGCGCTGGTAGCTGTTAATGAAGTGATGCTCTTTTTATTTGAGGGTCCCATTTCAGAGGGAAGATTTCAACCACTACCCCTTATAACTCAGTTTCAAGGCGGAAGGTGACACTCGAAAACAAGGGGTAGGGGTAAAAAGAAGAAATTAAATTTAGCTAGCTACTGAGACATTAGCATACTACTAGTGATTTTTATGCTTGTTATGAAAAAAGAACCAGAATACACTGAAACGACATTAAACAGATCATACAGTGGTCACTGTGATTTTTAACTAAGACAATTCTCACATTTGTGTGTTTCTTCGGTTGCTTGTGCTCCATCTTGCCGGGTTTTCTTTTTTTCTCATAACTCTCTGTTTGGAGTCTCTAACACGTCGCCCTGCCCCTCTATCTCAACAAGAATCGGGACACCCTACCCCAGACCTGAACATGCAAAACAGAGGGGTAGGGCTAAGGGGTAGGGGTGAGGGGTGAGATGAGACTGGGCTTTATATTATCACCCCAAAACAGCCAATTAATTCTGTTTGAATAAGTCTGAGAGCTACATGAATAAATGAAGAACGGTAGTCTGGAAAGGAGACTATCTGAGTGAGGTTTAAAGTCGATTCCACTGTTTTCATTTTATTTATAGTTTTATCAGAAAACCCACCCCTTACTCTAAATGTGATTAATCACCTGGGACAAGTTCAGTTCTTTGCTTATGAGCTGAAGCTACAATGCTAACGCTAACTTCTATTCCAATAGCCTCGCAGCTCCAGAGTAAAACTAGGCGCAAACACTTCAGACACCAAAACAAGTTCTGGCTGATCAGTTACATTTGGAGTAAGAGGGAAAAAGCGAACAGTCCATTTTGTTGGTCAAATCTCTGCGAGTGTTCTGTCCTGGTTTACCTCCTACTGTGTGCACATGTTGTAGGTCACCTGCTGAATGAATGTGTGCAGAAATAAACAGACCCCCACAGCTGCGTGAGAAACTCAACGACTACATCAGAAGGAGAGACGACTGAAGAGGCATCTTACTACAGATGTGGTTCCATCTCCGACTTCCTTATCCTGCAGGTCTGCCAGCTCGCAGAGGACTTTAGCCGCAGGATGTTCCACCTCCAGCAGCTTCAGGATGGTGGCCCCGTCGTTCGTGATGGTCACGTCCTAAAGTACAACATAAACGTTACCGTTTGCACTGAGTCTCCCTTCACAGCCTTCATGCTTTTGGTTTCTACTGTTAAAACAGGCAGGTCCATCCAGTAAAGCCTAACCGAACAGGAGCTGAACGCTGCTGCACTTACACCAATGTCGTCCACCAACATCTTGTCGAGTCCTACGGGGCCGAGGGAGCTCTTGACGATGTTGGCGATGGAGGCCGCAGCCATGACTGTGGAAAAGAGAGCAGGATGGAGAGATCAGGAGAAAGTCTTTGTAAAGGTGAGGAATGACAGACAGGGGCTCGGCTGATCTTCTAACCATTATATCTCTATTATAATTAACTAACGATGCACAATCATATCAGAGTCATACTGACTGACAACCGCTTACAAATATTTAAAACTGATATTTAATGACAAAACATCTGGATTACTTGAACGATAAATATATGAAAACAACAAACGCTAAATACAAAACATTCACACTCCAAACGAACAGATACACATGAAAAGTGGAATGGACTTTTCTCTCCAAACACACACCATCAGCCACAAGTTTACATGTTTATTGATGTGTTTGTCTTTTAACATTTTCCTCACTTTATAACATTAATAAAGCCATCAAAACTATGAATAAGTTTTTAAAGAATTGCTTCAGTATAAAAATGCCTTTGAACAAACAGACTCAATTAGATTAGATTCACATTTAGTGTATTAAAAAACTGCTAATGAAAACTGATGCCTGTTAATTTGGGCTGAACGATTTGGGGAAAATATCTAATCGCAATTTTTCTGACCAATATTGTGATTTAAATGCCATTTTCTATAAATTAATTCCAGGCTTGTGTTTGGCCGAGACCAGAATATCCACTTTTACTGGCACGAAGCTCGAACACTGAGTGGGTCAGACGACCAGCTAGTTGTGACGGTTGTGATGTCACAAATACAGAACATGCGTGTTTTGTTGCTTCTGATTGGTCCAGCTCATCTACGACACTGTTGATGTATTATATAATAAAAGATTTGCAGCTTTTAAGATTTGCACATTTGCACTCTTGATATAAAACCGATTGATCTTTCAGCTCTACTGTTAATCGTGTTGCGGCACAGTTAACTGATAACAGAAGAGCTGGACGTCAGGAGGGGTGATGGAGTGGTTTGCTGATTGGTGCTGACTGCAAACAGTGGTCTTCAAACTACTGAAATGCATTACACATAATATTTAACATCTGTATACCTGCTGTATTTGGCTCTGAATCTTCAGACGCCAACATTACACAGAATTGGACCTTATCTAAACTCTCAGCTTTAACTTTTCTGTTTATATTATTCACTGACGCTTTCTGCTGCATGTAAAGCTGCTGTGAACACAAATTTCTCACTTCACAACGAGTCACCTCCTCTTTTCTTTCCCACACTGTTAGAAAAGATGGTTCTTCAAGGGTTCTTTAGTAACAGAAATGGTTCTATTTGGTATCATGAACACTCAAAGAACCCTTTGCATGATTAAAGGGTTGTTCGGATAGATGGACAACGTGCTGCAGATGGATGGAGTCAAAGAACCCCTTTAGTACTTTACAGAACCCTGTCCAGTCCAGATCTGAGCCCGATTAAATCAGATTAACCACAGCACACAGCGAACCGTTTAAGGCGTTGTTACCGGCCCGTCTGCAGGGGGCAGCACCTCTGCTCTCTCAGTGTGATAACAGGCAGAAATAACGCGGTAAACATCCACAAACTAAGGTTTTACACTGTGCAACCCTGGCGGACCGAAACTCGACCGGAGGGCTGAAGTTTAATCCTTCATTATTTACTGAACACCGTTAATAACAGGAGACAACAGGCTAACGACACTAGCCGCCCGGCTAACGGCGCCAGCAGAAATAACGGAGCCCCGCACCCAGCACACAGGGCAGCGGCGAGGCCGAGAAACGCGTGTGACGGACATTAACGGCCCCGTTAAAGCGGATAAACGCGGATTACAGCGGTAATAACGGCGGCTGAAGGCGATTCTGAGCGGATTTCATCCGCACGTGGACCCGGAATGACGAGGCGGCAGTTAGCGGTTAGCTTCTTTCTCGAACCTCCCGTTCCACCTTAAATGGTGCTGCGGTTCCATTCAGGCGCCTGAAGCGGACCGCGCAGCCTCAGTGTAACGGCCGCGCCAGTTAAGGTGGAACGGACAGCGGCGCGTGCCGGAGTGAGCGGTGTTAGCGGTTAGCATTAGCAGCGGCGGATAAACGGCGCTGGTTTCGAATCGCGTCGCCGGAGTTTTAGTCCGGAGAGCGGCAGGAGGCTCTCCTGCGTCCCGGGCGGGGAGAACTGACCGTTCTGAGTCCGGACGGACTCTCCGGTGGTTCTCTGACCGAGAACATTGAGCGGACCGTCCAGCGCAGACATGATGGAGCCGAGAGAGGAGCGGGGAGCCGCGCTGCACTCTGGGTAAAGACCAGCCGCTCCGCTCCGCCTAGAAACTTCTAGCAGAGCCGGTTCACTTCCGGTTCCTCCCGCTATGTCAGAGAGAGCGAGAGAGAGAGAAAGAGACACAGAGAGGCAGAGAGAGAGAGAGAGAGACAGACAGAGATAGTTCATCTCTCAGACGCTAGAGGGCGCTCCCGAGCGAGTCCAAAATGAATGGGTTGATATGGAGCATTTGAGCAAAATCATAGTTTATAAATGCTGAAACATTTTTAATGTAAAAGATTACAATCATTTCCTGAACACAGAACAGCATAAAACATCTTAACACTGCTGTTATATTTTTAAGAGCTTTTAAAACTCGAGTTATAGGAGTTTAAAACAGCGCCTCATGTACGTTCATGACGTCAGTGAGCGCGAACGGCCAATGAGCTGTTCCGCTCGCCAACCAATCAGCGCTCAGTATCAGTAATGCTAACCAATCAGCGCTCAGTAGCAGCAATGCTAACCAATCAGTGCTCAGTAGCAGTAATGCTAACCAATCAG